ACCTGATAAGACACTGACATTGATCTCTGACTTAACACACACACACACACACACACACACACACACACACACACACACACGACAATTCCCAAATTTGGAGAAAAAAAATCACATAGAAAAAAAGCTAATATTCCTAACATATACAGAACTTGTAAAAAGTAAGAGGCAAATCTGATAGAAACATGGTATTGGCAAGGTTTGACTTCATCAGTCTCTCCTCTTTTCTGTTTTCAATAAGCCTCACTATGAACCATTCCCCAAGTTTGCCCAATACTTTCTCTCTTCTTCATTTTGTCCCCTACCATAGCTTCTGCTGTAATGTTCTTTCTATCGGCTACAAACTACCAAGTATGCAAGGGCTTTATACCTTACAGAGCAAAGAGGAAGAAGGAAGTACGGACACAGGCTTACAATCATTTTGTTTTATTTGGGCCTTATGTCTTTACCAAAGATGGCCAGATGAAAGGAAAGAGGAATCATATCTAGGCAGGGTCTGTGGATAATTTTACAAAACATGCCCTGTACACACCAGTTAGGATTGTGCTCTGAGCTTCTAGAACCAATGTTGGAACCATCACCAAAGCAGAGTAGGCCAGTCTCTTGTCAACTCCAGGCTGTGAAGCATAGCCTCGCTCACCATTCCAGCCATCCCATGGTCTCCATTTGTGCAGTCAGTAAGCATTTATTGTAATGCTAGTAGGAGCACAAAATTCATTGTGTCATGGATGATTCCAAGAGTCCTTGTGCCTTATCCAGATGTTCTTAAACATGGAGCCTGTGAAGTTCATATGATGTGGATCACAGACATAGAGGGATTCTGTTTTTTTTTTTACAAGCTCCAAGAGTCCACTGTTAATCTCATTTCTCCTGCTGATTCCACTTCCCTTGTTGCAGTTCAATCAAATATCTAACCTCTCCAGTCATTCATGTCCCTCTCTGTTCTGGAATCATTTATCTCTTGGCTGTAGCTTTATTGGGTCTGCTCCAAAAACAAAACGAAGGAAGTGTGTAAAGGCAACCCACTGGCAAAATGGTTCAGCAGGTAAAGGGGCTTGCTACCAACACTGATGACCTCTGTTTGGTATCGAGGACCCACAGGGTAGAAGGAGAAAATAGACCCCCACAAGTTGTCCTCTGATCTCCAAATGTTTGATGTGGCACATGTGTACAAAAATAAATAAGTGTAATTTAAAATTTTAATGGCCTTAGAAAATTGAGCAAGTAACCCAAAGAACATACACGACACAAATAATGAGCTGCCCTTGAGTGTGGTGGCCTCACTGAACCAATATGCACATGACACTGTAAAATTGGAGGCTACTCTACCACCCTCACAATTTTACTCCCTGTTCTCCAAGAGTCTATTTGTGAAGTTCTGGGTTCAGATAGTTCTAATGTACATAAAATGCTGTGATAAATAGGAGACAAATAAGAAAAAGACAAAGCCTTTGTCTTCTGATGGCATCTAACCTCTCTGGAACTAACCTCTCTGGCACTAGACAGAAGGTTGGGATTAAAAATTATGCATTTGTTGCTGGAGAGGATGTGGGGAAAGGGGAACACTCATCCACTGCTTGTGGGGCTGCAAACTGGATCAACCCCTATGGAAAGCAGTGTGGAGAACTCTTAAAAAACTACAAATGAACCTACCATTTCACCCAGTTATACCACTCCTTGGCATATACCCAAAGAACTCATCCTATTGCAGAGACACTTGTACATCCATGTTTGTTGCTGCTCTTTTCACAATAGTTAAGAGATGGAAGCAACCTAAGTGTCCCTCAATTGACGAGTGGATAATGAAAATGTGGTTCATTTATACAATGGAGTTTTACTCAGCAGTAAAGAAAGATGAAATCATGAAATTTTTCACAATGGAGTTCTATTCAGCAGTAAAGAAAGATGAAATAATGAAATTTGCAGATAAATGGATGGATCTAGAAAATGTTACACTAAGTGAAGTAACACAGACTCAGATAAACAAACTACATGTGTTCTCCCTCATATGTGGATCCTAGCACCAAATCCTTTTAAATTCCTGGCCTTTTTAATTACATGATGCTATACAGCTGTCCCCTCTAAATGAAATAACTATCATCATCGCAACTTCAACTGAGCCTGATCACTAAACATCATCAAAATTGGGCTTGTTGATGGTTGTGCTCATTCATTAGAGAAGGGCCAAGAAGGGTCATTGGACCCTCATTGGAGTATCCAACCACTCTTCCCAGCCAACTATGTATAATTTAGCCCTAATCACATATGGCTTCCTGGATTTAGGGAGGACTAAAATATATATTCTGGGGAAGGCTAAGAAGAAAAGGCATGACCCATGCTGAGTAAAGGCTTTTGAGTGTACATACCCTTAGGTCATAGATAAAACTCAGGAACCTCTCAGTTATCTCTTTTAGAAAGCTCAATACATTCATTGGTTCCCTGGGGGCATTGCTGGCAGCAGCCTCTCCTCCTTTCTCATTGGCGCTGTGCGTTCATTCTCACAGGCATCGAGGCTGCTCCTCCACTCACCCTGGGCTGAGGCCATTCTTCTGCTTGCCCGGTGCTGAGGCAGCTCTTCTGCTCACCTGTTGCCGAGGCAGTTCCTCTGCTCGCCTTATGCTGCCTCCTGTCGTTGCTGCTTCTGCCTGGTCCTGTACCCCAGGGCTGGTGAGGAGACTGTCAGTGGAGCTGCATTCAGACACAGGAGACCAGGTTCAGTGACACAGGTCTGCTTTATTGCAGGAAGGCACAAGCTTATACAGCGGTAGTGGTCCAATCACAGCACAACAAGTAGGATATCTTATTAGCATAACAAGTTTAGCATCCTATCACAGTACAGCAAGTAAGATACCTTATTAGCGTAACAGACTTAGCACCTTATTAGCTTGACAGACTTCACATCCTATCACAGAATAGCAGGTAGGATGCCTCATTAGCATACTGGGTTTCAGAGTACAGATCCTGGATTCCTGGAAACCACGTGACCCTGACTGTTGCAATATCTAAGTGTTGCAATTTGGAATTCCAAGGGTGGTGATTAGGGAGTGGTGAGCTCTAGGCATCAGTCTCATGATCTGCCAATGGGAACAAATGTCACAAGGCTCCTCAGGCCTGCTGTATGGTTGTCAATAAGACTTTCACCCTAGGTTCAAGCCTGTCTCCCACAATCACATACTTGGGAAACTGAGGCAGGAGGATCAACACAAGTTCAAGGCCATCCTGGGCTATATAGGTGAATTCTAGGCAAACTTGGGTTATAGAGGGAAACTTGGATTATTTGGGGGGGAAAAAAAACACTGAAGTTTTGGGGCTGAAGAGATGGCTTAGTGAGTAAGCGCGCTTGCAGTGAAAGCATGAGGACCTGAGTTCAAATCCCCAGCACTCATGTGAAAAAGCTGGGCATAGCCATGCCTATCTGTACCCCAGTATTAGGGGGTAGTGATGAGTAGATCCCAGGAGCTTGCTGGCTGGCCAGTCTAACCAAAAGTGAGCTTCAGATTTAGGAAGAGACCCTGTCTGAAGGGAATAAGATAGAAGCAATAGAGGAAGACACCTGACATCCTGCTCTGACTTTTGCATATGTGTGCACATATGTATATCATACATACCATACAAATTAAAAAATTTTTTGCATTAAAAAAATACTATTTTATGTGTATGAGTGCATGTATGTAAATATACCTATGTTGTGCAGTGCCTGCAGAGATCAGAAGAGGCTGTCGGATCCTCTGGAACTGGAGTCTCAGACAGTTGTTAGCTGCTATGTGGGTTCTGGGAACTGAACCTGGGTCCTCTGCAAGAGCAGCAAGTGTTCTTAACCACTTGAGCCATCTCTCTAGCCCCTTATTTTTTTATGTATATGAGTGTTTTGCCATCTCTCCAGCCCCTCTTATTTTTTTATGTATATGTGTGTTTTGCCTGCATGTATGAAGTGCACCTATATCATGTAATGCCTGCAGAGGTCAGAAGAGAATGCTGGATTCCTTGGAATTGGAGTTAACAGTTGTTAGCTGGATTGTAGGTGCTGGGAACAGAACCAGGGTTCTCTGCAAGAGCAGCCAGTGCTCTTAACTGTTGAGCCATCTCTCCAGCCTCAACACAAGACGGGATACTAGCACTCGAGATGTTCAAAGTAAGGCTGGGCATGGTGGCACATGCCTTTAATCTCAGCACTCGGGAGGCAGAGGCAGGTCGATGTCTGTGAGTTCAAGGTCAGACTGGTCTACATAGTGATTTCCAGGACAGCTGTGGCTATGGGGAGACCCTATCTCACAAAGACCAAAAAAGAAAAAATTATGCATTTGTAAAGCACTGACTGCCTGGCATTCTTACATGCCCTGTAAATGGTGTCTAACATTATATCTAAGACAGGATTAATAAACCCACAGGGGTTTGACATGCTCAGGGAAACTAACAGAATCAAAAGTCCTTTTTTTGTTAGCTTTTTAAAATCTGTGTGTGTGTGTGTGTACATGCAAGTGTACGCACAAGTGTATGGAAGCCAGAGATCAGTGTTGGGTGTTTTCCTCAATCACTTTCCACCTTATTTTTGAGATAGTCTCTCCTTGCACATAGAGTTCAGCTGGCCAGCTAGTCCCAGAAATTCTCCTATCTCTACCCCACCCCCAGCTCTGAGGTAACAGGTGAATCCTGCTTTTATTGTTATTTTTTATTGTATATATTTATATGTGTGGGCAAACACAATCCACCAAATGAATGTGAAGATCAGAAGACAACTTCCAGGTGTCATTTCTCTCCTTTTATCTTGTGAGTCCCAGGGATCAAGCTCAGGTCATCAGGCAGCAAGAGCCTTTACCTACTGAGCCATCCCACTGGCTGCACTTGCTTTTTACCCAGGTCGTGGGATCCCAGCTCAGATCCTCGTGCTTGTGCAGCAAGGACTTTACTGACTACGATACTTCTGCAGCCCCCTCAAGTTCTTTTTAAATGTAAACATAAGTACATAACAATGAATAACTTTATTGCATTTATTTTTTATCAGCATGAATTCAATGACTTCACCAGGCCCTATGGCCAATTCTGTGTGTGTGGTGGTACCCCACAACAGTTATCCTGTGATGCCAGGAGCTGTGCCTCAGGTGCCTCTATATTCAAACAACCAGCCCCAAATTCACCTAGTTCCTGGGAACCCACCTGGTTTGATGCCAACTGTGAATGAGCTGCCTGCCTAGAAAGTCTTGAAAGAAGGCAAAATCTTGGGGGTAAGTGTGACTCCACTTTGTAAGCCAGGGACTGGAGTGAGAAAAAGACAAAGGTTTGAGATAGATAGATCTCCAAATGAGGGTTGGAGGATAGCCCAGTTGGTAAAGTGCTTGCAAACTGAGTTTCAGCTCCAAAACCCACCTTAAATAAGCAAAATGTGGTAATGCACACTTATGATCCCAGTACCAGAGAGGCGAGGACAGATACTTGGGACTCTTTGCCTAAGCAGCCTAGCTTACTTGTTGAGCTCCAGGCTAGTGAGAGACCCTGTCTCAAAAAAACAAAGTAGATGGCTTTTGAGGAATGATACACAAGGTTGACCTCAGTCTCCTCACATCTGTACATACATATGCACACACATAAAAAAGGTGGGTTGTGTCTGAGGAAACACACACACATGTACCCACACATACACAAACATACATACATACATACATACATACATACATACACACATACACAAAAAGAAAGAAGAAGACAAATTCCAAAGAAACAAGTGGGGATGGCTTTACCAAACCCAGGTCATTGAAGAGCTTGGGGCCTCAGGGGCCTCAGGGGCCTCAGTATATAGCCTTATACTTTCCGATTTAGGCATTTTAGAAAAGAAGAAGAAAAACATCTAAAGGGTATGTTCTCAAATATAGATTTGAATGTATTTGATCCACATAGTTCTAGGGAAAAAAAGAGTCCAGCAAGGACAGGGTTCCCCAAAGACAGAGTGAAGTCCCACACGACCGATTGTTACCCAATGCAGAAAGTAAGCAGGCTAGACAAGCACCAAAAGAAGAGTTTCCAACAGCCCTGGGAAGGCCGCCCTTCACAGGACAAGGGGACGCCCTTTCATTTTCATTCACATAGCCCAAAGACCACAGGCATGGATTCAGAAGCAGACATCCCATGTTCCAATCCTAGCCTCACACTCTGATCTTATTCTGGTGAAGGTAAACTGAGGCAACCCGTATAGAAAAAATATCCAATAACACATCTGAGGATACATCCTCCAAATACAACTCTAAGCTGCAGAAATGTGCGGCCTCTGAGGGTATTTGTTGCAGCACAGTTTACAAAGACAGAAGGGTGGCAGCAACTGGTGCTGCCCACAAGGGGCCAGGTCTTCATACTTGAATTAACAGTCAAAACAATCTCCCCAGAGACATGCCCACAGACCAGCTTGATCTAGACAACTCCTCATGAAGACTTTGTTCCCAAGTGACTCTAGATTGTGTCAAATTGATAGTCAAAATTAGCCAGCACACTATCCATCAATATAAAGCTGGTTGAACCCCTGTGTTGTACTTACAATAAGCAATGTTGTGGAGCTATAAAGAAAACGAAGCCGGGCATGGTGGCACACACCTTTAGTCCCAGCACTCCGGAGGCAAAGGCAGGAGGATCTTTGTGAGATGGAGGCCAGCCTGCCCTTCATAGCAAGTTCCAAGCTAGTTGGGGCTACAAGGAAACCCTGACGAGAGAGAGAGAGAGAGAGAGAGAGAGAGAGAGAGAGGCTTTTGATGTAATGACAGGAGTTGTCCCAATATATGTCATTAAGGTGCCATTTGTTCAATACATATTTGTATTTAACAATACATATATATGTATATGTACTTGATACCATATTTGTAGTAAACATATGTATATATGCATATATATGACAGTGCCTGTATTAGCTTCTTGTAGCTGCTATAACAAAGTATTATCAACTGGTGCCCAAGAACAACAGAAACACATTGCCACACAGTTCTGGAGACTAGATGTCTAAGATCAAAGTCCAACAGGGCCATACTCAGGAAGGATCTCCCCCAGACCTTTCTCCTAGCTTTTCCTAGCTCCTTGCCTCATACAACATTGCTCCAGGTTTCACATGACTCTTTTTGTTTACTTTGGCTTTTTGAGATAGAATCTTGCTGTGTAGCTCAGGCTGGCCTTGAATTTAGAATCCTCCTGCCTCCAGCTGGGATTACAGCCCCTATCACCATGCCTGGATTTCCATGGCTTTTTTTTTTTTTTTTTTTTTGGACAGGGGTTTACCCTATTCTAGTATGATCTCACTTGGTTCATTACATCAGCAACATTCCTGTTTCCAAATAAGGTCATATTCAGAGATACTGGAACCTCAATATATTAATTTGGTGGAGAGCAAAGAGGGACAAAATTGATCTCATGACAATATCCTCATGAGAGTAGAAAGAAGGAAGGCAAAAGTTACATACAAGTCTGTATATCACATGAAAAACTAGAGACAACTTTATCCACCCAACATCTCTGCTACAACTGCACCACAGACTCTAGGAAGTGCTCAGCAAACATTTTGAAGACTAGTTAGGGACTGGGGAGATAGTTCAGTTGTAAAATGCTTGCCGCCCAAATATAAGGACCTAAATTCAGATCCCCAGCATCCGTGTAAAAGCTGAATGCAACAGCATGAGCCTATAATCCCAGTACTGGGACATCAAGATAAGAGAATTCCTGAGCCTTGCTGGCTAAGTCTAGCCAATCAGTGAGCTTCAGGTCCACTGAGAGACCCTGTCTCAAAAAAATACATAATAATAAGATGGAGAGTGATTGAGAAAGACACCCAACATCAACCTCTGGGTTCCACTCACATGCACACGTGCATCCACACATAAACATGTACGAATATGCACACAAAGAATATTTAATGACCTAAGGACATGCTCATGAAGAACTATTAAGTGAGTAAAGTACAGACATTGCTTCTACATCACCAAGGTACATATTTGAAAAAGAATAATGGAAGGGCATATAGAAAATGTAAATGGTTGTTTTTTCCAGAAGGGGTTTGATTATGGATAACTTTAATAATTATATTTCCCACATTACCTTTAAGATCAGGAAAACCAAACATGTATTCAGAATGTAAAGGAAGGCAGAATCAGGGCTCAGAGGCAAAGTCTTCAACTTGTGGCTCTCCTGACAGGCCATCCAGATCTTGATCAGCCTGATCCACTTAGGCCTGGGCTCCATCACGCTAATGGTGCTCTCAGAGTCCTATATACCTGTCTCCCTCTACAGAGGCTTCCCCTTTTGGGGAGGCATCTGGGTGAGTAGCTCGAGTTTGGTGCTCTTGGTGGCCTCATCAAGCTGTGCAGGAGCATGGAGGGGCTTGTTCAAGCATCTTAGTTGGGAGTAGGGGGTTACCACAGGCTTGGCGGTGCCCACTGTAGAAACGTGTTTTCTCACCATTCTGGAGGCTAGAAGTCCAAGACCAAATAGTGCTTGCTGTGGTCTCTCTTCACCTTACAGCTTGGCATCTTCCCCTGCTGTCATCCCTCTGTTCCTGTCTGTGTCCAAACCTCCTCCTCTTTTATATTTATTTAATTTTTATTAGTTTCATTAACTAGTATACAAAGTAATGGGTTTCACTATGACATTTTCATACATAGTGTTCTTATTTGGCCCCCATCACTCTGCACTCCTCCCACTGGTCCCTCTCCTCCTCCGATACCTCTCTGTTCTCATTTCATTGCTGTTGCTGTGACGAAAGTGCCTTAGAGGAGAAAGAGTTTGTTTTAGCTCACACTTCCAGGTTACAGTCCATTATTTCTGGGAAGTCAAGGCAGTAGGAACTTGAAACCACTGACCACATCACATCCACAGTCAAGAGCAGAGAGGAGTGCATGTGTGCTCACTCAGCTGACTTCTTAACTGTGCTCCACTCAGTGTCTCCACTCTTGCAAAGTTCAGGAGCTGCCTAGGGAATGGTGCCTCTCACAGTGGGATGGGTCCTGCCACATCAGCTGACTTGAGAAAATCCCCCACACGTGTCTGCAGGCCAACCCTATGTAGACAATTCCTCACTGAGACTCTTCCCAGGTGATTCTTGGTTGCATCAGGTTGACAGTTAAAGCTAACCATTACTTTTTCCTTCTGCTTTTGTGTCACATGTATTCTACCACTTTCTTCCCTCCCCCGCCCTGAGATCTCCTAGTCTCCTTTCATAACTTACACTCTCCTACCTCATATATAATGTATAAATTAAAATATATGTTCTGTATATGGCAAAAAAAAAACCATGCAATATTCATCTTTCAGCATCTGGCTTATTTCCTTTAGCATAATATTTCCAGTCCATATGTGTTTATTGCTAACCTCCTCTTACTGTAAAAATATTAGTCAATGGGCCTAATGACCTAATTTATCCTTAAATCACCCTTTGAAAGGCCCTGTCTCTGAAGGCAGTCACATCCTCAGGTTCTTTGGCTTACACCTTTGAACATAGGAAACTGGGGATCATAGACTGAGTTTTAGTCCTGCAAGGTGGCCCCTGTCAAAAAGGGATCCTTTTCCTAATTTATTCATCCCAGATACCCTGGTAATTCTTCTAGTTCATCAACCCAGGGGCCACAGCATTTCTTAATTCACAAAGAAAATGATGTGGAGCTGGAAAAGTGACTTGGCGGTTAAGAGCACTGGCTGCTCTCACAGAAGACCCAGGTTGGAATCTCAGCACCCACATGGCAGCTAACACCTGTCCCTAACTCCAGTTCCAGGGGATCTGGCACCCTCTTCTGGCCTCCACAGGCACTGCACAACACAGGTGCACTTAGTGTTGCAGGTATAACACTCATACACATAAAATAAATAAACAAAAAAATTTTTAAAGAAAATGATGTACCAGGGCTAGACCCTTGGGTGTTATTAACAGTGGCCCATGAGCCTGAGCTCCGAGGGGAAAAAATATTTTGTCCCAAGTAGAGTCTGTGGTCCAACAATGGAGATGCCTAACTCACTGTCCACAGATGAGCTCAGAGCCACATTTGGGGAAAACATCCAGCATGATAAATATGAATTGTTTTTCTGAGAAGGTCCATGGCTTTTGTCATATTCTCAAGATGATCTGTGACTCCATAAAAGAGCCACCGTCCCTTCTCCAAGCCAGTTTATTACCTTTAAACTATTTCAGTCTTTTCCTAGTACACACACACACACACACACACACACACTGCCCCTCCCCTCTCCATCTACCTTTCTTTCTTGTTCTCCCTTCTTCTTTTTCATAGTCTTTCCCTTGATTCCCACACCCACCTGTGACTCAAATGCAATTCTCCCAATAAATACCCAAACTCCACACTGACCTAGGAATCCATCAATGCCAACCTTTCCCATACAATGTAGTGAAAATAGCCTGGCACTCTCCGCCACCCCCACAGCCCCACCAGCCTGCAGAACCATAGGACTGTGTCCCTCTTGCTCTGACCCACAGCCCATATTCCCAGGCTGCAGCTTCTCTGAACTCTACCCTGATCCAGCCTTACAACTCAGCCCCCCATTTCTCCCAATCCCCCACCAATACCTATCCTTGTAAAGAGACTTTGTTAAAACATCACAATATCACAGCTACACACTGGTTTGCCGTGGTATGGTAGATTCCCTTGAGTGCTCATGAAACCAAACAGTGCTCTGACATCTCAAAGGCCCTGCCGGCCCTCTAAGTCACAGCTTTCTTCCTGTTTGTCTGCGAGTGTTTTGTTATTGTCACCGTTTGCCACTTCCTTGTTAATACTTTATTATTTTATGTGTATGAATGTATTGCCTGCATGTATGTAAGTGCACCCATGCCGTGGGGTGCCCACAGAGGCCAGAAGAGGGCGCCAGATTCCCTGGAACTGGAGTTACAGATGGTTGTTAGCCACCATATAGGTGCCGGGAATTGAACCCAGGTCCTCTGCAAGAGCAGCCAGTGCTCTTAACCACTGAGCCATCTCTCTAGCCCCAGCTTGCCACTTTCTTAACCAGGTCTATTATTCTATATCCCATCTAATCTGAGATCAAGGCCAGCATGGTCTACATAGCGAGTTCCAGGCCAGCTGGGGCTACAGGGAGACCCTGTCTCAAAAAAGAAAAAACAAGACAAAAACAAGAACCTAAGTCTGAATTTAAATCATCTGGGTTTGATCTCAAGTATTGCTACTTGCTGGATGATCTTGGGTGAATTACTTTAGAATCCATAAGCCTCATTCTGCCCCTCTAACTTTTTTGTAATTTGATGCATATATGCAATGCATTTTGAGTGCCCCCCATTGCCCTCTCTTATCCCCCTCCCACTCCTGCTGACCCCTTTCTTCTTCCCAACTAGTCTCCCTCTACTTCAGCATGGCCAGCTTGCCAGTGGTTATACCACTGAAAAAAAATTACAAGTCCCCCCACCCCGATTTTGCCTATCTTTAAAGCGAAAATAACAGTGTGCTTGGTGAGTCATCATGCAAGATTAAGAAAGACATTTCATGTGGAAGGAGGAAGAGACAGGCACACTTGCTACTAGATATGGGACGTCGAAAATGTTCTTGACTTAGATTTTAGTGATATGTGTATAACTCTATAAGTACATTGAGAATGACAGGATGGTCTGCTTTAAGTATGTAGATTGTATGGCACGTGAATTCTCTCTCAATGGAGCCATTTATTTAAAGCACCTCATGTAGAACCCAGCAAATGGTACCTTTTATTAAATCGTATCTCATGTCTCTCAAACCACTGTGGGTTAGGCAAACAATGGCAAGTGATCCCTCAGCCACAGTGCCTGCAAAGTGCCCGTGTTAGGCGAAAAAAATCTCCTTGTATGTGATGTTCAGTGTTAGAGACCTCGTACATGTTTTACCTGAGTGACTGAATGGACCCCTTCCAGGTGTACAGACAGCCAAGGGCTAATGCTGAGCTCCTATCTGAAAATGGCAGCAATGGCAGCACAATTTCCCTCTTTCCTCCAGCGCCCCACTCCTCATGAATCCTTACATAGAAGCTATAGAGCAACAGATGCTGCACATGTGTAAAATTAACGGCAAGGAGTAGAAGCAATGGAGCGTCTACTACAAACGAGATATTGTAAATGTGAGGCATACGTCAGACAATGATGCCCAGGAAGAGATAATTTTCCCCATTTTTCCCCATTTTTCAGTTGAGAAAATGAAGACTTAGAGAAATTAAGAACTTACCCAAGAACATACAAGTTTCAAGGCAGAGTTTAAAACCAGTTCTAGTGAATCCAAAGCTCTGATTATCCCCAGCCACTGTCCTCTCCCACAGCAAATCAGCTCATTGTCTCTGAGTGGATCTGATGGTCTCCATGAGTACATGTATATGAGAGAATTTATGTGTTCCCAGAATCACAGATGCCTAAGGAAGACTGCCCTGGCTCTAGACCCTCCTAATCTCCCAATCTTGTGCACCAGTTTATCATTTCAGAATCACTCTCAGTGGCAGCAGAAAATCAGCCAAATTCATCTTGCGTGGTAAGTCATGTCCTGTTGGTCCTTGCTAGGGACTGACGGGATGGTGTCATGGTGGGAAATAAGGTTGACAAGCAATCCTTCCCTTACTCTCACACCACCAAAACCAAACCCAGGGCACTCACGCACAAGCTAACTCTTGCATACAGGCCACCTAAGCCTAGCCTGGACACACAAATAAAGAGACAGTTCACCCCACCCCAAAGGACTCAGGAGAGGAAAGAGACAACACTTCCCCCACAGCTGAGGCATCAGAATGAAGAGAAAGGCAGGGGGGATCGGGACCAGCTTCCCCAGGTTCTCAGAGGAAGAGACACAAAGCTCCCAGGTGCCTGGGGCTACCTCTGCAGAGCAAGGAACCAAGTATGTCCACAACACAGAGCAGGCCTCCAGCCATTCCTGTAGGAGCCAGCAGAGGCCCTGGCATCTGCTTCACTAAGAAATCCAGACGCTGAGCTCTGAAGACCCACATGGACAGGGCTTTGTCTAGCAATAGACCAATGTAATACCTTTGTCGTCTTGCCCAGGGTAATAGTCTTAGGGTGACCAGGTCCCAATAACTAGATAGGGTTTATTGGAAACTATCCAGAAAGGGATGTTCAAAATGTCTAGGCATATTTTTCTGTGCATGACTCAAAATCATAGGGCATCTAAGCCTACCACATCCTAAGACATTCATCTGAGACTCCTGCCTGTCTCCTGAGGCATAAATAGGTAAAATTTTCTCAAAGATGATTCATAGAAATATGTATACCATTCTATACTCTCTGAAAATACTTAGGTGACCTTGGGGAAAGTCTCCATTTATTATCCTCTCTCTGGACAATCTGCAATTCTTACTGAAAACTCTTAGAGTTCCTACAGCAAAGTTACCTGCTGATCTTCAGTCAACTCAGCCTTTATTGAAGCTTACCCCAAAATCTTCTCACACAGAATACCTCTCTATCCCTTAAAGAATTAGGCCCCAGCCATTCATACTAAAAAATATTTTCTACAGAAAGATAGTGGTGGTGATTGCACAACAATAAAAGTGTGTTTAGTACCTATGAACTATAAGATCTAGAAGTGATTAGGATGGTAAAACTATATTAGGTCTGTTTTAACACAATAAAAATGAGGGAGGGTGATACTTATTGAGTCTGTACATCTCAGCTCGACTAGTCTTCCCCACCCTGACCCTCTGTCTTCTCCAGCTGAACGGCAGTGTGGACTTGAACACCTTCAGGGCCATCTGTTCTGCAGTTGGGGTCATACTCTTCATCACAGACCTAAGTCTCATCAGGATATACTCTGACCCGGGTTACTACCCTAACCAGAGCAGCCGGAGCATGGTAAGTGTCCTTCTCCACCAAAAATCCCTGCTCTGGCTTAGCTATGTTCAGACCATGGGGAAAACGACCTGGCAACCAAGCTTCTGCCCTGATCACCAGAGGAAAAGGAGGTATTCTCAGAGTCAAAGCAGGTGTAAAGTCCTTGGCTACAGCTTTAATTGCATAACATTTTCCTCAGTCTTTACTGCCTTCATAAAATAGTACCTACCCTATGGCATTGGGAAAAGTAAATAAAATGATGTACATAACACCCAGATGCCAGCCCCCCACCCCCGGCAGCCTTTCTGCCTGTTACCACAAACTTTGTTTTACTTCCTTTGAAAGCTATTCTTAATTTAACTATTCAGGTTAGCATACAAAACAATGGATTCGATCGTGGCAGCTTCATACACACCTGTCAGTACACTTTGCTCTTATTTGTTCCCATCCCCACTGCCCCCCAACCCCCTCTACAGCTAGTCCCTTCTCTTCCCCCAAATAGTCCCAGCTCCTGCTTCCTTAGCACATGTATTGTGTTACTCTATTTCCCACCTCCCTTGTGATCTTTTCCTCCATTCTCAGGATTCCCTTTCCAGTTTTGTGACCTGCAAACACACATATAAACACACACATATGTATATATGTATATATATATACACACATATATATAATTTAATATGAAAGAAAATATGCAGTCTGTCTTTCTGAATCCTGTTTATTTTCCTTAACATGACTTCCAATTACATCCATTTTCTTTCTTAAATTTTTTATTTTTTATTGAACTTTTGCAATTTTCATACAATTGTTTGATGGTATTTAGATGCCCTCCCCTCTCTACACCTCCCCTTACTACCCCTTATCCAGTTTAATGTACCTCTTATATATAATATGACCTATTGAGTCTGATTTGTATTCCCCAATGTCCTTCAGTGTGGGCCCATCCATTAGGCCCACCAAGAGAGGCACTGTCTCTCCCTCTCCCAGCAGCCATCAATTGCCAAAAGTTACTTAGGTCACTTTAGGATTTTTTACCCACTTTCCCATGTCTATGCTAGAATTTTGTTTGGTTTGAATTTGCATAGGACTTTGTGCAAGCTGTCACCATTGCTGTGAGCTCATATGAGTAACTGACCAGCTGTCTGGAAGACTGTTTCTTTGTGATCATCCACTCCCTCTGGCTCTTACAATCTTTCTACCCTTTCTTCTGCAATGATCCCTGAATCTTGGGAGGCAGAAGTTTTAAATAGGTGTCCTATTCAGGGATGAGCACTCTGCAGCCTCTTGTGCTCTGCGCCAGTTACATCCATTTTCTTACAAATACCAAGACCCACAAAAGATTGTGTCCTGGACACTCTATCATGGATGGAGACTAGGCTCATGAAGCTTGAACAGACTTATCCTGCAAAGAGCCAGATAGGTTTTTAAGCTTTGCAGGCCATACAGTTTCTATCACAACACAGCAGGCCTTTAATAGACACAAATAGTTAATGGATGAGCATGGCTGTGCTCTAGTAAAACTTTACAAAAGAAACATCAGCAGGATTGGCCCCAACAACTGTAATTTGCTAACCTGTGCTACCAACCAGCACCGTCCAATAGGAATAAAATGTGGGCCATATAATCCCTGAGACAAGCATAAATCCATTTAAGAGTGGCACCCATGACCTAATTATTGTCTACTAGACCCCACCTCTTACATGGCTCACCATTCAACAGCCCCACACTGGAGTGTAGGCAGTAATAAACGGCTGAAGGGCCAGCAGTTTCCCAGTCTCACATGCACCTCCTGTGTGCCTTTGTTTTCCAGATGGGTGTGGTCATTCCAAATGTCTATGCAGAGAATCCACCAGTCTTCCCAGAACCACCAAACCCATTACCAAGGTATTCCAGTGTAGTCCAAGGCTCCAGATAAGTGAAGCTAAAGATTCTAGAAGCATCTTTCACTGCAACCGAAGGAAGGTCCTCTCCTGTTAAGGCTTCTATAGCCCAGATTCTTCCTTCCCTAACAAATGGGAAAATGACTCTCCTATCACTTGTATATGGATTCATGCTTCAGTTCAGCTCGGCAAATCCTGCTGGTCCTCTACTAAAAGAAGATGGGAGATTGAGATGGATTTAAACAAAGATGTTCTCCAAGGACACACACATCTGTGTGGTATTAAACATATCCACACGGGCCTTGGTGCATACACATCCATGTACTTCCCTGCCTAGGAGTTTGTGGATTGGAAAAACAACTATCTTGTCACCCAAATTTCCCTTTTTAACCATTCATTCATTTAATAAATATGAATTCTGCATCAGAAATTTCCAAGGCTCTATTCACGGCAGAAGTGGGTTAAGTGATGATGGACATGACATAATCCTTGACCTCACAGACAAGCAAACTTCTGGTCTCAGAAGAAAACAACACTGTTTTTGCAAATCCAGGCACTGTCAGGGAAGGAAGCATAGAGGAAACACTGAGACAGATGTGAGTGATTCTGGCGGTGATGAAGTGGGAGGTGAGGAAGGCAGAGCACAGAGCTGCCTGAGGAGGCAGCATTTGAGTGGGCCATTAAGGGGTAGTGACGGATTCCCAGAATAGTGAAGAAGCATATGACTGGAAGACCTCGAGAGACAGTCGTCCACTAAAATAACTAGTATCTTTGTAGCATGGTACGATGGAGTTCATTAAGTTGGGTGTCAATATTTAACTTTCAGGCATATACAAGTATTCGATCTATAGGACAGAATATATAAAGTCCATTGGTATGATTCAGATGTAATGTATAAGAAACCATCATGTAAGTTTAGGGGTACTGTGGTTCTCAACAAGGAGGACAGGTGGGATCAGCAATACTGAGAGATGAGTTATCAAAACCAGGAATGGACAAACCAGGAGAAAGATGAACCCAATAATTACTTTAAAAGGCCAAGAGAAGACTAGCTCTTCCAACTCCACAGCTGTACAGGCCGGGTTTTCTTCTTATACATCCACCAAAACAAACTATCAAAACAGAACCAGATGTGAGGATCTAGATCTCTTCTGTTAAGCCAGACATGCAAGGTATACACACACCTGATAGGATTCAGGATGCATTATCTCCAAATATAGCACCTGGTGTCTAAGAAAACACACAAGCCAGAAGGTCACTGTCACCATCCTCTGCCCTTCCTCCTGAAATGGGTATTGATACATTCATTCAAGGTCCCCTCTCTACACCTGGAGGAAAGACATCCTGATGTTTGGAGACAGAGACAATATGAGGTCATGCTAAGCTCACCCATTTATAACCTTTAGATAATCCACTTTTAAAGCCAGCTATGCATCACAACTACCTACATCTTCACAAACAAAGCACAAAATACCCAGCTTTACCCATATCATCTATTCTTTGGTGTCTTATGAAGAAATCTCCTTAAGTGAAAAATCCTATGAAATGGAAGTGTAGGCTTTTCTCTTGTTTGTCTGTCTTTTGCTACAAGGGTTTCAGCCATTAATCTAATAATGGGAGATGAAAAGATATTTCTCCTCTGCCCCACAAACTGATAAAAAAAATAATACTCTTGGGGCTAGAGAAATTGCTTAGTGGTTAAGAGCATTGGCTGCCCTTGCAAAGGACCCAGGTTAGATTCCCAGCATCCACATGGCAGCTCCAATGCCCTCTTCTGTCCTCCACAGGCATTGCACAACACAGGTGCACTTACATGCATGCAAGCAATACACTCATACACATAAAATAAAAATAATAAATAAAATATTTAAAAATAATACTCTTCTGCTAGGCGTGGTGGCACGTGCCTTTA